CCTGAGACATCAATTTCGGTCTTGGGCAGGTTCACATCCACTTCAGGGCCCTCGCCTTTGAAGCTGGGCATGCTGAACTTGGGCATTTTCATCTTAGGCATCTTCAAGCTCCAGTCTGCACCTTGAACTTCCACATCTGGTGCTTTAATGTCTACTTTGGGCCCTTTGATGTCCACATCTGGAGCTTTCATCTCACCTTCTATTTTTGATGTGGACACATCTAGATTCCCTTTCATTTTGGGTCCTTTAAGATCCATGTCAACATCTGGCAGGGACATCTTAGGAGCTTTGAAGTGCATCTCTGGCATCTTAAACTTGGGACCTCTCAGCTTCCCTTCTGGTCCTTCAAGGCTCAGATCTGGAGCACTAATATCTACCTTGGGTGCAGAAATGTCAATATCAGCCTTAGGCAGATTCACATCCAGTTCAGGGCCCTCTCCTTTAAGGCTAGGCATGGTAAATTTGGGCATTTTCATCTTGGGCATCTTTAAGTTCCAATCAGGACCATGAACTTCAACATCTGGGGCAGTGACGTCTACTTTTGGCCCCTTCAGGTCCCCTTCCACTTTTGGCACTGTAACATCATATTCTCCTTTTACTTTGGGACCTTTCACATGCAAATCCACATCAGGCATGGAGATCTTTGGGGCCTTGATATTCATCTCAGGCATCTTGAACTTGGGGCTCTTCAGTTTTGCATCTGGACCTTCAATACTCACATCTGGAACTTCAATGTCCACCTTGGGTCCAGCAATGTCAACGTCAGCCTTGGGCAGGTTCACATCCACTTCTCGGCCCTCTCCTTTGAAACCAGGCATGCTGAACTTGGGCATTTTCATTTGGGGCATCTTCAGGTGCCAGTCAGGGCCATGAACGTCCACATCTGGAGCATCAATGTCCACTTTAGCACTTTTAAGCTCAACATCAGGAACTTTGATCTCACCTTCAACCTTTGGCACTGTGACATCATATTCTCCTTTTGCACTTTTCAAATGTAAGTCCACATCTGGCATGGAGATCTTTGGGGCTTTGATATTCATCTCAGGCAACTTAAACTTGGGTCCTTTCAATTTCCCCTCTGGTCCTTCAATACTCACATCTGGAGCACTGACATCTAACTTGGGCCCAGAAATGTCCACATCAGGCTTGGGCAGGTTCACATCCACTTCAGGGCCCTCTGCTTTGAACCCTGGCACACTGAACTTGGGCATTTTCATCTTGGGCATCTTCAGGTGCCAGTCTGGGCCATGAATGTCCACATCAGGGACAGCAACGTCCACTTTGGGGCCTTTCAGCTCTCCTTCAAGTTTTGGTGCTGTTACATCATACTCTCCTTTTGCCTTTGGGCCTTTCACATGCAGATCTACATCAGGCATGGAGATCTTTGGTGCCTTGACACTCATTTCAGGCAGCTTAACATCAGGGCCTTTAAGGTTGCCTGCCAGGCCCCCTATGTTGACATCTGGAGCTTCCACATTGACTTTGGGCCCTGAAATACTGATCTCTCCTTTGGGGAGACTCACATCTACATCTGGCCCTTCCCCTTTGACTCCAGGGGTGCTGAACTTGGGCATTTTCATCTTGGGCATTTTCAGGTTCCAATCTGGGCCATGAACGTCCACATCTGGGACACTGACATCCACTTTGGGGCCTTTGACATCAACTTCAGGGACACTGACTGTCCCCTCTACTTTCGGAGGCATGACACCTACACCCCCTTTCACTTTTGGTGCAGCCACATTTAAGTCTACATCTGCCATAGAGATCCTGCAGGTTCCTGCTTTCCCAGAAGGACCACTAAGCTTGGGGCCGGTCACGGTCCCCTCTAGGCCAGGTGTCTCTATGTCTACTTTGGAGCCTTTAACAGACACTTGAGGGCCTTTAATATCACCCTGCACACCAGAGGCAGAAACCTTAATGTCTCCTTTCAGTTTAGGGGATCCAAGGCTCAGATCCACATCCTGCATGGAGATTTTAGGTTTCTGAATAATCATTTCAGGAGTCTTGACTTTAGGACTCTTCACCTTCCCTTCCAGACCGCCAGTAGCAACCTCAGGCAGGCCCATGTCCCCAGAGACCCCAGGAACAGTCACTTCCCCAGTGGGCAGGGTCACATCAATGCCGGCTCCCTCTCCCTTAGAACCTGATACAGAGAATTTGGGGGCCTTCATCTTGGGCACATTCAGTTTGCCCCCAAGCCCATGAATATCAACATCAGGGGCTTGAACTTCCACACTGGGGCCGGTAATGCTGCCCTCGATTTTGGGCACGGAGATGTCCACCCCTAAACTCCCCTGTGGCTTGGCACCTTTCAGGCCTAGGTCACCCTCAAGGGATGGCCCAGTGATTTGGGGGCCCTTCAGCTTCCCCTCAAGCCCCTCAATCTTGGCAGAGGGAGCACTGACTTCAAGCTGAGGGGTCTGGATGTTCCCTCCAATGGTCAAGCCTGGCGTGCCACCCTTGTGCCCCATAGAGAATTCAGGGACAGAAACACTCAACCCTGCCTCTGGGGCCTGGCCTGAGACACCAAATTTGGGCACTTTCATGGTGGGAATTTTAATTGTCCCATTATTGCCACCCTCAAGAGATAGGCCCTGCCCCTCTACTGCCCCACCCCCAAAAGAAGACGACACATCCACTCCTGGAACTTGGACCCCTCCTTTGCTACCCAAGTCCACGCCCTTTGCACTGAGACTGACACCCGGGCTTCCCACCTTTATTCCAGGCACAGTGACCTGGATCTTTGAGTGGCCAGCACCTTGGAGCTCTGGTCCTGAAGCAGAAATGGACCCTGCTCGGATGTCCATAGTGGAGCCTGTGGTTGGAGACACTGCCCCCGAGCCCGAGGGCAGTCTGATCACTGTCTTCCCAGGCTGGGTCTCCACATCCACAGTGGAGATTTCAGTCAGTTCCTGTCGTGGAATCTTGATCTTGAACTCAGGGCTGCTTATGTCGATGTCCTTGGCGCCTTCACGGCTTGTCACATCCACAGTGTAGGCTGTGACTCTTCTAGTCACCGTGATGGTGCGGCTCTGGGTCTCCCCAGGATCCCCTTCCACTCCATCCTCCGACTTCAGCCGAGGCTTGATCTTCGTGGTGTAGATGCGCTGGTACTCCTCGTCATCCCCGCTCTGCAGAAAGACACGCCCGGACAGGTTGCAGCAGAGTCTGCGTGAGTTACAGACGCCCGGCCACAGCCCAGCCGACAACATGGCTGCCCATTTCCCAAAGAAGCCAGGACCCTATCGGGGGTCCACAGAGCCTCCCGGGACAGAGCACAAGGTGCTGAAGAAAGGGGCGGCAGCCCTATCACAGGAGGAAAACAGAAATCATTTGGGGAAACTCCAGTCAGCAAAAGGTACAGGAAGGGGCTGCGGTGAGACTCCTGGACCATGCGGTCTGGGAGAAGGATTTACAATCAATTTTAGATTCGCTCATCGAGTCCCAGGGACTCCTCCAGGTGACCAGCTCTGTGCAGACTTTGACCCTTCAGCTCTCAGCTCTCAACTCTCTAGCTTGTTTGTTTAATCTGGAGGGGAACCCTCCCAAGGACCTTTCGGGAAGCATTTGTTAAGCCTGGCTGTACTTGGGTTCACACTTTCACTTTGAAGATTCATTATTTGTTAAATAAACGCCAGCAGAAGGAGCAGAGAAACGCCCCTCAGGCCCCCTGCTGCCCAGCCTCTGACTCACAGGTGAGTCCAGGCCTCTGGAAGGAGGAAAGCAGTATCTGGGAGGCAGAGCTGGGCACTGTGAAATCATTTCAAAGATCCTGGCAAAGCTGACCACCTCCCTCCCGACATCAAGGACCAGGCCACAAGAGTGGGTCCCCGCGCTGGGGCCCTCTGAAGAGACCAATGGAAGCTTCTGAAGGGGCAGCATCAGCCACCCACAAAGAGGAGAAGCAGGCTGGCTCAGCAGAGAGCGCAGAGGCTGAGAGCAGGAGCAGAGGACAAGACAGGTCCAGCAGGCAGACAGAGGCTCAGAAAGCGGGGCCGGCCCGTCGGCGTGGCCAGGGGACCTCCGGGCGCGGCCAGCCGGCCAGGCACTCACCAGAACCACTTCGGAGCTGTGGGAGCTGAAGACTTCATGGGTCCAGGTCTGGCCAGGCTCGGGGGAACGGTCCCCCTTGCGGTGCAGCTTCAGGCCCACCGTGTGGTGCCCCATGGTGTTCAGCAGCTGGGCCACCTCGCCCGACTGCAGGTTGTCAAAGTAGATGGTGGCACCCACAATCTGGTCCCCTGAGCAGAGAGGAGCAAGAAGTAGGTAAGACCACCCAGGATTTCAGGAAAACAACACACAACCACTGTGTGCTGGGCCCTCGAACTGACTTGCAGGTGGGATAACACCCATTGTAGAGAGGAGGAAACTGAGGCTCAGAGAGGCCAACTAATTTGCCTAAAGTGGCAGAGCTCGTTGGTGGTGGAGGATACTACAAGGAGCCAGCAGGGGTGGGAGGGCTAGGGTACCGAACATCCCAATGCCACTGGGACCGGGCCCTCCACAGCCCACTTATGCTGCCCTCTGCCCTCCCCAACCTCACCCACCCGACCCAGCACCAGCCCGCACCCCAAGGTGACTCACCCTCTTTGACCACCCCAGTGCGGGCCGCAGGGGAGTTCTGCATCACCTCCTGCACAAAGACTCCGTCATCCCTCTGGGCGATTGTCAGCCCGTGGGAGCCGCTGCCCTGCCAGTTGGGCAGCAACAGCTCCCGGGTCGACTCCTCCTCCTTTTCCATCTGGATGAGATAAGAGAATGGAGCTCAGAGCAGTGGGGACGCAAGGGCATGAGGGGACAAGAAAGCCAGGGATCTTCGGTGCTAGGAACTCCCTGAAAGTGGGCATGTCTCCAAGGTGCCTGCTTCTGCTGTGGGCGTGCTCCCAAGATGGAGAAGATGGGAAGTGGACAGTGGATGATGCAATTGGCCTTGGAGGAGACATGGAAACAGCCTAAATGTCCATCAACAAATGACTGGATAAAGAAGATGTGGTATATTTATACAATGGAATACTACTCAGCCATAAAAACCGACAACATAACGCCATTTGCAGCAACATGGATGTTCCTGGAGAATGTCATTCTACGTGAAGCAAGCCAGAAAGAGAAAGAAAAATACCATATGAGATCGTTCATATGTGGAAACAAACAAACAAAAAAAGAAGAACACAAATACAAAACAGAAACAGACTCATAGATATAGAATATAAACTTGTGGTTGCCAAACGTTTGGGGGGTGGTAAGGGAAAGACTGGGAGTTCAAAATTTGTAGATATTGACAGGCATACATAGAATAGATAAACAAGATTATACTGTATAGCACAGGGAAATATATATAAGATCTTGTGGTAGCTCACAGTGAAAAGAAAAGTGACAATGAATATATGTATGTTCATGTATAACTGAAAAATTGTGCTCTACACTGGAATTTGACACAAAATTGTAAAATGACTATAACTCAATTAAAAAAAAGTTTATAAATAAATAAATAAATAATCAGCCTTGGAGGTAACCATCCCCTCAGCCCTCCCCTCAGGGCCACACGCAGTCTCTACCCGCCCTATCCCAACACCACCTCTCTCATCACCCTCCCTCCTCCTACTGACCTTCACAGGACTTGGTTCAGGAGCAGATGCCTTGCCAGGAGCCCGCCCCTCCTTCCTCTCCTCTCCTCAGTGTCTCTCTCTCTCTCTGGAATCTCCGTCACACAGCCTAGGGAAAAGTTCACGATCAGGGTCCCACTCAACAGTCCGCTTGCTCCAAACCCTGACTGGCTGCCACACAAGAGATGGCTGGATGTTCTGTCCTTCAGGCCACACCCAAACCCCAACCCCCACTACTGTCATCAGCTCTCCTCACACATGACTCTACAGTCTGTGGTCACAGGTTTAGAGGAAGCCAGACTCAGTTTCAAACGGTGGCTCTGCATCCTCCCAGCTGTGTGATTCCAGACAAGGCACTAAACTACTCTGAACCCCCAATTCCTCATCTGTGAAAATGGAGATGGTAAAGGATTTCCATGAGGACTGAAGGGAAGAGAAAGAAAGCATGCGTGGGACCCTCTGGCGCACGGGAGCCTTACAACATCCATGTTCTCATTAGGTTCTTTGTGACAGCCTCAGCAGGGAGCTGTTACGGCCCCCATATTGCAAATGAAGAAAAGAAGCCCCCAGCCTCCCAGCACTGGCTAGAGCCCTAGAGGCAGGAGTACAGCTGCGCTGCTTCAGGGACGCGTGGAGTCAGGGCCCACCTGGCTGCCCTGCTGGGCCCTGAGCCAGGCCCCCCTAGATGTGAGCACTTAAGGGCAAAGACCTCCTCCAGCCGCAGGACGAGCTGTCAGCTACAGAGGCACCCCGGGAAGACACAAGGCAGGACTCCTGCCTGCGGCCACCCACACAAAATGGTGGCAGCATCACCCAGAAGCATGCCCGTGCAGCTGTGCCAGGGAGGCTCTAAAGCACCGACAACCTCGCCCAAAGCTCCACCCTAAAGCTGTTTACATCCAGAAATTAGTCAGTCAATAAATACATGCACGCTGATCACCTCCTGTCTGGCTAACATTGTACAGGGACGAACACAGCTCAGCCCAGCACTGAATCGTACCCTGCATTCGCTGGTTACCTACCTGCACTCCCCTCTAAACACCTACTGAGTGCACACCACGTGCCGGGTAGGCAGATTTAAAAGACTCCTTTTATTGTGATTGGATTACTGCATTCTGTTGATTCTTATTTTGTGGTTGGCTTTATTCCTTTGATAACTATGTAAGTTTATAAAGCTAAAGCTCTAAACTGTTCTTAGAAACAATGAAGAGTACCTATATATAAATTTTAAAAATATGTGCAGTATATTGTATATGTGTATTTACATGCAATATATTGTATATGTGAAGTCAAATTATATCAATTTCACATAATAAAACTGAAAATGAAAATAAAATAAAAATTAAAAACTCCTTTTAAATCCTGTCCTGGATATAAATCATGAAAAAGGTGTTCTGAGCGTGACCAATATAGCCTCAGAATGTTCCAGAACGCTGGAACCCTTCGAGGGGTGGGGAAATGAAATCTAAAAGGGGCCTTAAAAGTGCTAAGTTTGCCTCTGAGGACGGGACTCGCGGAAATTCACGGGACTCAGCACTTCCGGTGTCAGGCAGCTCACAACACGGGTGAAAATGGCCACAGACCCCCCCAGTTCCCCAACCACCCGAACTCACGCGTGCACAGGTGCCGGCTGGGAGGTGGGCAGAGCCATTGGTGGGCAAGTGGCCTGTGGCACAGGTGTGACAATCACCTCCCTTCCTACCAGAAGTCAGGATGACCCTTTCCCTAGCATCCAGCACAGAGAAGCCAGCCCTGCAGACAAGGAGCCAGGCAGGGCAGGGAAGGAAAAGGTTCCCACCCGAGGGCTTCTCAGATCTCCAAAGCCACCGATGGCCCTGGCACCCCTTCTTCCTCCTTGAGCAGGGCCCCTTTTCTCAGCCGAGCATCCTGGTGCAATGAGCCAGCAGCCGGCAAGGGGGGAGAGAGCCAGCCAGCTCATCCTCGCCCACATCTCAGCCCCACCCTCTCTCCTTCCCCAGTGAGTCACTGTGGCCGCAACAGCTCCAGACACGCCAAGGGTCACGCCTAAAACCTGATCGACAGAGCGCTGCACAGGCCAGACCCCTGGGTGCCAGAGGGGCTGGGGCTCCAGTGAGACTGGGAGTGGGCTTCCCTGCCAGGTCCGTAGGACAGGGCCCCAGGCCAAGTCCCTGCATGCACAGCCAGGAGACTCAAGAGGGACCTGCCTCGACCAGGAGCTGATGAGAAGGGAAGCCATCAGCAGCAAAGAAGAGACCACAGCCCGTGAGAACAGGAGGCCCTGGACCCAAGGATGCAGGTCGGCCCCAGCAGGGCACCTGCTGGGTTCTCGGCCAGGTGGGGCTGCCAACCACCCTGCCTGCTCTGGCTCCAGGCCTCACCTCCTGGCATGGCCAGGAAAGACGCCCCCTCCCCTTTTATCTGATCCGGCTGGATGGACACAGGGGGGCTGATAGGGGATTCGAGGCTATGATGGCAAGGGCCTATTTTCTGCATTTGGGCCCCAGCCCTCGATCTCTCCCACCCCTGGAGTCTATTCCAAGCCCTGGTGGTCCTACCTTCTCCTCCCTGCACAAGTCAGGTGAAGCCGGGTTACTGGGGGGCTGGGAGGGTCTGCCCTGCTGCTATCCAAAGCAAGGTTTCTGAAGCTTTGGGGAAGTCTGCATATTTGGCCAAAGGGCATAAACCCTTGGAGCCAGAAGAAATCTTAGAGTCCAGCTGTCCCACATGGCAGCCATATGTGGCTATTATTTAAATTGATTAAAATTAAATTAAATTAAACATTCAGTTCATTGGTTGCAGTAGCCACATTTCAAGAGCTCAACTGCCTGCCATGTAGGGCTACCATATTAGAAGTGCAGATACAGAACATTTCCACCGCTGCAGAAAGTTCTGCAGGATAGCACCGCCTGCTGTTTACAGATGGGAAGAGTGAAGTCCAGAGAGGTGACAAAGGGAGAGCACTGGGTCCCTAGAATCCGGGTCTGCTAGCTCCCCGCCTGCGGTCCAGCGGACGCTGGCCGGCAGGAACCTTTGTGATGGGGTGGGCTGGAGTGGAGACCCTCTAAGGCAGAGGGCTGCTTGGAGGGCAAAAACGAAGTGAGATGGTGAGGCCACTCCAGCTTTAAGGCAGAGAGGACACCCATCTGAGACTGCAGGGACAGGGCGTCATGCAGGCCAGAGGCAGCTAGAGAAGAATGAGGCTGCCCTGACAAATCAAAACCACAAAGAGGTTGTGCACGCCACCTCTGCAGATCGGGGGCAACACCTAGGCAGGCCCAGGAGAAACCCAGGCAGCAGACCCAGGAAGACAGTTTCTGCCAGGTGTGACCTCCAAGGAGCATCCTTCTTCCACTGCCCCCAGGAATCAGAGTGCCTTCTGCCCAGGAGCCAGAATGAAGACAGTCAGGGAGGGGGCCCAGCCAATTTGCAGCCAAAGACAGCCTGGCAGCCAGCATCAGTGTCAAGATGGCAGGAACTGATACACACACACATACACACACCCGCCACGAGGCAGGCCTGTGGGTCTCAGTGCACCAAACCTAAAGTCAAGATACACAGCAGAGGGACACAAGTTTGTGCGTACGCTCAGCAGAAATGGGACATAGGCGGCGACACGCCAAAGCACAGAGACACGCTCCCACCCACAGTGGGGAGGACACTGACAGCAATGAAATTTCCATCCAGCACACAACTAAATGGACCCAGCATACATATGGGCCCGGGAGAAGCAGTCCCCAGGCCCAGAACAATGAGTTGACTCACAGCCAGGGCTAGAGACCTCCACCAGCGGGAAGGCCCCGGCACTTGTCACCAGGACGAGGGGCTGGGATAGTCAGAGATAACAGAGACACACCCAGAGGGTCCATCTACTCTCCTGCACACTCACCAGGTAGTAAAGAGGAAGAGAAACCACACATTGAAAGAACCTCCCACCCCAGGTTGAGAGAAAGAGAATTTTGCAGCGCTCCTGTGGTGCCCCAGTACGGGGCTCAGTCCACGCCTGGGGACTCCAAGCAACCCTATGTGATTAAGAATTAATATCTTTGTATGGAAGGTACAGCTCAGTGGTAGAGTGAGTGTTTAGCATGCATGAGGTCCTGGGTTTGACCCCCAGTACCATTAAATAAATAAAAATAAACCTAACTGCCTCCCCCACAAAAAAATTTTTTAATTAATATCCTTATTTTAAGGCTGCAGAAACAGGCACCCAAGGTTAGACAACTTGCCCTAGGATGAGACAGAGCTGAAAGTCAAGCCCGGGGTTCCCAGACTCCAAGGCCAACAGTCTGTACCCAGGGAGAGGGGCAAAGGCACAGATAAATACACCCACAGGATGAGAAACCACAGAGGAAGATGCACAAGGGAGATACACAGAAGCGAGAGCTCTGCACTGGAGGGGGCAGAGCGAGATGTGAGATGGGGAGACACACCCACAGGAAGACTGAAGGAGAGGCCTCCATGCATTTCCAGACGGAGACTACGCCTCGCCTCGGAGGGGCGGATGTAAACATGAAAAAGAGAGGGGCTGAGATGCGGGCCAGCAGGGAGAGACCCAGGGGCCTTGATGCCCTTCAAGTGATACAAGCCCAGGAGGCAGGGCCAGAGGCCATCAGCCTCCTTGTCCACACACCAGCCTTGTCATGGCCCAGCCTGAGGACAGCAAACTCAGAATGGGCAGAGTCCCAGGCAGCCCAGAGCCCAGGATCTGAGGGCCCTTCTGGTTCTGGGGCTCATCGACGCTGTGTCCCCAGGAGTCGGAAATCCTGAGCCACCCAGAACCCAGCTCACCTGTAGAGTCTCTGGACTCCAGCTGGTGAAGCCTGAGAGAACCTTCCCCTTCTGGGGCTTGGCGGTCGTCAGACCCACCCTAGAGAGCAAGGCAAACATTCCCACACACTGCGAAATGGGGACAGTCATGACAGGAAGATCCCTGTTCCAGAGAAACAAGGAGGAACACAGGGCTGGCCTCTCTTCCAGGCCGAGGCCTCTAAATGGCCCTCCACATAGGCAGCCACCAGACCTGCCTGGAAAACAACATGCCCCGCTCTAACTGAAGCAGAACTGTGAGTTCTCTTCAGATTCTACGCTGGCACCAAGAACTTTGAGATCAGCTGACTCTGGGCAGCACACCCCCAGGGGGCACTTTCAGCTTGAATGGGATGTATGTCCTGGGGAGGCTGAATTATCAGGGAGAATTTGATGAACACGTTCCACGACATGGATAACATGGGCACCGAAGAAACAATCAAAGAAAGACACGCAAGGACGCACACACAACCCCTGGACACAGAGCAGACCCCAGCCCCTGCCTCCACCAGCTCACAGAACACACCTGCCCAGGCAGCCACAGGCCCTGACCATCATGGAGGGAGGCTCCACCTGCTCACCTGGTGCCCAATCAGTGCCTCCCTCTTCCCTGCTCACCTGCCTACCTCGCTCCCTGGCTACCTGGGCCGCTGGCCTTGCCCACAACTCCCACCCAAAGGAGGTGGTTTGTCCAGCCTCCCCGCTCCAGCTCTCTCCTCCCCATCAGCCCCTTACATCACTCTGGAGTTTCCTGCAGCTCCCCACCCCCACCCCAGCCAGCCAGCTGCTTTCTGGGCTCCACCCTGTCGCCTTTCTCCACCTCAGTCCTCGGGCCCTCCCACTCCCCCAGGCGCAGGGCTCCAAGCTCTTGCTTCCAGCAGGGAGAGAATCCTGCTCCCTCCCCTGACCAAGAGGGCCTCCCCTCTCTTTGTGGCAGGGGCTGGGGGCAGCTTACAGTCTCCAGCAGGAAGTCCTCACACCTGGCCACCTCACCAAGGAAGAGTGGGCCCTGACCCTGGACAGCTGGAATTAAGACACTAGCTCTGAGGTGGGGCACCCTCCGGAGGAGGAGGGTATGAAGAAGAATTCGCTGTCTCGCCCTCAAGGGTAGATTACAGTTTGGGAGCTGCCCTCAGCCAAGACCAAGGCCAAGCTCTCCGCCCAGTGGTCGGGCCACGCTAGTGCAGGGGCTTGGGGCCAGGCCACTCGGCCCAGCTGCCAAAGAGCCGCCCCCAGCCCGGCCAGGACGCCAAGCCAGGCGCTTCCCCTTCCCCTAGAACCTCCGCTCCAGCCCCCGGGGACAGGGCAGGATGCCGCTCCCTGGCTGGCCGAGTGCAGTGCCTCACTCAGCCTCCATCAGCTGGGGCCTCGCTCCCAGGGCTGTGCTAACCCTCCTTTGGGCCTCTAGACACAAACTCCAGGGCCTGGAACCATCAAGGATGAAGAAACTTACTTCAGTCCTTACCTACAGCCCCCGTGATACCTCTACCACCCGGGCAGAGTCCCATTGCTGTTCCCTGCCCTGTAAGCCCCAAATGCCAGCAAAAGTGACAGGTCCAGGACCACCATGCACAGCTAGAGACACAGTCTTTTAGGTAATGATGCATAACCGCCATGAAACAGAGACTCCAGACCCAACGCATCCAGTACAACAGCCCAGCCAAGACCCCCTGATGGGGACTAAGGCCAATAGGGAGGAAGAGGGGCTCCATCAAAACAAACAAACAAACCTTCTGAGCCCGCTGTGGCCCACCCACGTGGCCCCCACACCTCCTCCAGCTCGCCCAGGCCTGGAGGAAACTGTGTGTTCAGGAAGGCCTGGGAGCCCAGCGGGATGGTCGGAGCCCAGGGAAATGCCAGCTCCCTGGGAGCCTGGATGAAGCCCAAGGGGGACAGAGCAAGAGCAGAAGGCCCTAAGACACCCACCAACTGAAACATGCCATTCTAAGCCCTCTCCAGGGGCCACCTCCCTTCCTCCTGTGCACATGCACGTGGTATCAGCCCAACTCCAGGGAGAGAAGCTGGGGGGGGAAGGGGGGAGGAGCCAGCAGTGGGGGGGCGGTGGGTAGGAGTTCCCAGCAGGAGTCAGACTAGCTTTCCCAGTCGGCCCCTCTGTCCCCAGGCAGTTCCCAAGTTCTGAGGAAGGTGATAACCACACCCCAGAGCCGCACACACCCCTCCACCCCCACAGCTTTGCCCCAACCCCTCAAATCAGCTCCTCAGGCTCTGGGTGGCTTGTTCTGCCAGGGCCAGCGGGCCAGTTCCAAGTCCACCAAAGAATCCAGCCTGGTGGTGCCCAGGCACCTTCACCAAGGGCCTCCCTGGAACTAAAATGACCTCCGGGGACCCCCCAGCCCATTTCCTGCCCTTGACTGAAGCTGACCTTCACCCTCCATAGGTCTCCATGGTCACTCTCTCATGTCTCACTTTGAGCCCTTGAACCTGTAGCCTCACCCACTCTGAACCAAGTCTGGCTGGTAGGAGTCCTCAGCTCTGTGGGGTTAACTCTTCAAGCAGTTACTCAAACCCCTGAATCACTGCTGTGGGCCCCCAGAGCAGCAGCACTAAGTCTCACATTACTTACGTGGCTCGCAATGTGTCCTGGTTCTCTGAACAATGTCCCTGTGTATGATCTTTAAGGGCAGGGCTTTGGAGAAGGGCTCAGACACCATCCTGTCCCCATTGCCAATACTTTAGACACTCTGCTAGCCCAGCTCTCATGGTCCCAGGTCCTCTCTGACCCTCCATCATCCCACAGCTCACAGTTCAGAGCAAGGAGGTAACCCCTAAGCCCGGGCCCCCTTCTACTCCCTACTCTGCACACACACACACCACCCATGTGCTGGCCCAACCCATCATCCCTGTGGGCCAAGGAGAAGGAAGCATACCCATTCAGCTTTGAAAGGAAGTTAAGTGCCACACCCTGCCCCAGGGATTTCCCTCATGGGGGGCAGGGGGAGGGAGGGGGAATGAAAGCAGATTCTACTCCCCAAATTTAGACCCAGCACAGGTGTGGAGGCCTTAAAACGCCTTCCAAGGCATCTTCAATGTCTCCCTCCTTTCCCCCGACTCCCTCACCTTCACCAGTCACTACGGCCCCTTACGCATCATCGTGTCCCACAAAATCAAACCAACCCCTATCATGCAGTAGGCTGAGCGCAGAAGGGCCTGCGATCCCTGCAGTCAGAGGCTAGATTCTGGTAGAGAAAATTCTCAAAACCAATTATTGGGAGCCCAGCGCTGTGCTGGGGACACAAAGGTAAATATCTGGGTCCCTTTTCCTCCAGAAAGTCCAAGTCATTCTCCAAGGACCTCACTGCCCTGGGAGGATCCTACCCTACCTTTCCACAAATCCACTCCACAGAGCAGGGCACTCAGCAGCAGGCTCCCTGGAGGGCACCTCACCACCTCCCCTCCGGCAGCCACGCCCTGTGAAAGGCACGAGTGCACACAAGGCACACAATTCTCTGTGGCCACAATGTGCAGAGGCGCCAGAGTCGTCCCCACGTGGTGCTGGGGCCCAGCTAGTGCGGTGAGATGCCCGCTCTGCCCACTGGGCATCCCCTCCCACGCAAGGGGCACCGACAGCCCTGCTCAGACCCCACGTGTCCCTCGTGGCCAGCGCCGCCAAGGGGCTGCGCCCCTGCATCCTGGGGCCCTGGCACTGCAGGGGGAGACGATCTCTGCCAGGGGTAAGGCCAGCCCTCGCACACTGCACACCCTCTCCCTGCCTGGGAGAGCCTTACATAACACGGTTCTCTGAACACACCCTAAAGCCCCAGTGCCTTTCCAACTCCACGGCAGGACCTCGTCCCCCGGCCCTGCGTCCAGACGCGCGCCACTGGAGGGCTCCAGAGAGGGCAGCGGAGCCCTCCTCCTTACGCCAGCCCGGCTCCTGCCCCCGCCTCCCACACACACAGCCCCTTCGCCCCCCTCCCCTTTGCCCCTCACCACTCCTCCCCGAGTTCTGGTTTGAATTAGTCACCGGCTCCAACCACCACATTCCTCAGGCTCCTGGCGCCGAGCCAGGCGCTGGGGCGGGGGCCATCCCGCCCGGACGGGTTTGGGAGTGGGGTGGGGGAGAGAGCACCGCCTCTGAAGGGGAAGGGGCGGTCCCGAGGGCTGTGCCGCTGCACAGCCCCCCTCCCCGCCCACCCCAGTGCAGGAATCTCCCTAATTATGTCCCCCACCCCCACCCCCACCCGTCCCGCTGCGAGGCGCTCTGCAAACTTCCAGACTCCGCTGCCCTGGAGGAAGAGGGGAGTTTTCTGGAGCAGAGAACGTAGAGGGGCAAGATTAGGGCGGGGCAGCTGGAGGGAGGCTGAGGGGGCCGCCAGGAGCAAGAAAGGGAGAAGCTGGTGGTGCAGAACTGGGTGGGGCCGGGAGGACTCGGGACGCGAAGTTAGGGGCGGAGGTGTGGGGAGTGGAGGGGGAAGGCGGAGGGGGTGCGCAGCGCGGGGGCGCAGGGGCGCCGGGAGGGGCTGAGGGGCCGCGCCGCGATCTCGGAAACTTCTCCAGTAAACATGGAATAGGGACGGAGCCGCGCGCTGAGCCACCGCCCCACGGAGAAGGAGGGGGTGGCACAGGGGCCACCAGGCCAAGAACCGGGCGCCTGGCTGTGCAGCAGGGACAACAATCAGCCCTTAAGAGAAATATGGACCGGAGCAAAGCGTGCCTCGGAACGATTTTCCAACTTTGCCCAACTTGCGCCCCAACTCCAGAGGCAGAGCTCGGCTCCCAGAGTGCGACGCGTTGCCTCCCCGCGCGGCCCCGGGCTGAGCAGCTTGCTCTAAACTGAATCTTCCCAGTGACACCCACCCAAAGCAGCTCGCCCAAGCCCTGCCACCCACCTCCCCTCGCGCGTTCCCCCCGTCCCGTTCCCCGCTCTCACCACGGTGCGCCCGGCGCCGTACCTGCGCGTTCAGCCCCAGGGCACAGCCATAGCCGGCGCGGGGCCCGAGGTCGCGGTGCTGCGGCTGCTGCAGGCGACGAGCCCCGGTTGGGGCGGGTCCGGCAGGGCGGGCGGTGCAGTCCCCGCGGCGGAGCTGCTCCGAGTGGCCGGGCCCCCGCGCGCGCAGGCGGCTCTTGTAACTCCGGCTGAGGCGGGCGGGTCTGCCCCGAGCTGTGGGGAGAGGGCGGGGCCGGGCGGGGCCGGAGCGGGGCTGGGACAGGCGAGCCGGGCCGACCCTGGAGGGACTCGGGAGCGGGCAGTTGGGAGGGCACTGGGGGCCGCGGGGACCAGGGGGCGCCACACATCCGAGGAGGTGCTTCCCCTCCCCCCAACCACTGCCCTCCGGCCAGGGCCTGGTTAACCCCCAGTGTCTGTGGTGTGTGGCTTCATCGGCAAGAAACTCGAAGCTGTCTGAGGCTCATCCTCACAGCTGGATCTGCGAGTCGGCCCATTTTGCAGGAAGGACCAGGGGGTTCAGACTGCGGCTGGGGGCCTTGGATGGTTCGGCCGCGACCTCCGGCCTGACGCGGACCTTTGAGCTTTCTCTCGACATAGGCAGCTTACCCTTCAAATCCTAGGCCCCAGACTCCTCCCTGGGTTCCGCAGCTCCACGCAGCCGCGCCCATTTCTCGCCTTCCCTCTTCTGGGGGGGGCCCTCCCCCCTCCCACAGAACCAGCCCGTTGACGCTGGCCCCACCTGCTGGAGTCAGGGTCACCAGTGTCCCAGCGCCGTGATGCTGCTCCGGCCCCTGCAGTGACAAGGGAGTCAGGCCTGCACCCCTGGGAAGAATAGGGCCGGCCGCCCACCTCACTGTCCAGACTCCCTGAGAAAAGCCAGAGCTCCCGCTTTTCCCCTTTCTACTCCTTTCTTCTCAGACCCCCTCTCCGGAGCCCCTCCGCACTTGCGGGACGCTGAGTTTCCCAATTTACAGCCATTTCCCACAGCCACTTCTAACTCAACGGAGATTTTATTAAACGCTTAATTATGGGGTGTGGGGGCCTTCTGGCTACACCCCCATTCTCTTCTGCCCCGTGAACACTCTTATCCTCCCTCCTAGATGGCCACCCTCTGCCCTCATCAAGCCAGTTTCCCTTCCTTCCAGAATGCTGGGGACCGGAGCCCCCAGGCTGGGGACCTGAGAAGACCTGGCCCCAGGGCAGAAGCGCCCTCCTCGCTGCAAGACCATGAGTGGGCTGGGGCTGAGACCAGCGGCCCTGTCCTCTGAAATGGCAAACATGTTTACAGGCTAAAAATACCCAACAGCCAACTCTGCTGCCAGCCCTGGGGGCTGTGTCCCAGGTCCAGTTACCCGCACAGGGTACAGGCTGTGGGGGAGGGATGAGACAGCCAAAGGAGGCATAGACATGCAGACACTCATATAATGGACACAGAAAGGTGGAGACACATGTGGAGACATTCAGACAGGCACAGACATGCAAAGACACAGAGTCTAAGCAGATACTTGGGCACCAGCATTCTCTCTCTTTCCCTCCCTCTCTCTCACTTACACAAACACACACAGACACACACACACACAGTGACTCAAACCCACAGCAGAGGCAATCCCACCACACATATCAGAAGCACACAGTCAGAGACCCTGACTTTCTAAAGAATCACCTCCATTTTATTCTGCACCCCTTTCCCTGCATCTACCTTAAAGAAAAAAAAATCTAAACTTCTCAACTTTGTGATACTTAAAAAATATAAATAAATAAAACCCAAGTGGTAATTTCCTCCACCAATGGCTTTTTAAATTTTATTTCATTTTAAGTAACATTTATTCAGCTTTTTAAATATGGACCAAAAATACAGATACACTAAAGTGGCCTGTAGTCCTACAAGTTGGATAATCCTTGTGGATATTTTTGAAATAAAATCAATACCTCTGCAGGGTGAAGAACATCAACACGGCAAAGTAGGACAATAAAAAGTAGACATCTCCCTCCCCACCCCCATCCAGTCCCTCTCCTCAAAAGTAACTGCTGTTAACAGCTTACAGGAGGATTTTTAACTCTATGAATCATTTGGTTCCTTGACAGTGCACGTTTTCCCAGTGCATATTAAAATGGGAGCGGATTTACAGCTTGGTTTTCAGAAAGATAGCAGGGGTGTCCTCTGCCAAAAGACATAGGGGGTCTGCACAAAGGGCCACGGGAGTTTGGAGGGAGCAGCTAACGCAGGAAGGGAAGAGCCAGGGAGGGTGTGGATGTTGTGCCCTCACCTCGGCTTGGGCTGCATCAGAAGTCCAGGAGTGAAAGAGCAGAGGGGGTAGTGTCCTGGGCTCAGAGCCAACTTATCTGCTCCATTGTTTGCTCTGGCCACCCTCTTGGTCAACAGAGAAGAAGGCGGGAGGTGCTGGTTCAGGGAGCAGCTGCAGAGCAGGAATTACTGTCCAGGTACTTCATTCAGGGTAGGAGTGTCAGGAGGAACCCTGGTGGGGTGTGGTCCTGGGGACTGGCTTCTACCCCATCCCAGGCTGGGAGGTTACAGGAGGGGTAACCAAGACCCCACCCCTAAAAACCCAGGATCATGCCTGCCGGAACCAGAGCTAGGTTTCCCTGGATCAGCCTCCTCAGCCCAGGGGAAGGGAATATTTTCAACAGTTTTCAGTGGTGCAATTGGAGACACAATTTTAGAAATTTCTACCAACACTTCTCTTTCTGCCCACGGCTGTAGCCCCACCCCTCCAGACCCCCCAAAGCTACCTTCCTGTAGCTTTGTAGATTGTGTCTGACACTGTTGCAGGCACTTCAATGGGTCAGCTCATTTCATCCTCACGCACAGGAAGGAAGTGGTCTCAGAGAAGGGGACTGATTTACCTAAAATCCCACAACCCTCAGAACCAGGAGTCAAAGCTCCCTCCAGCATCTCTGCTCCATGAGGACAGGAAATTTTTTTCCCTGCTGTATACTCCATGCCTTGAGCAGTGGCCAGCAAATAGCAATCACTCAAGATCACTTTATTAAGTGAATGAATGAATGAGTGAATGAATGAACAAACTCTAGGTATACCTGCTTGTTCTTGTTACAACAGCATCCTGCACCCCACACTTCCCATGAGGAGAAGTCAGAGCTTCCCCTCCCTCTCAGCCCCAGGGAGCCGTCCCCCAACGGGGTCGTCTCTCATGCAGCTGCACAAACATTAACGTGTGTCCAGTACTGGGCCAGGGGCCGGTGGTGGTGGTGGTGGTGCGGGTAATAGAACTTGACAAGATGGAATCCCTGCTCTCAAGGCACTCAGTCCAGAAGGAACTGTCCTCTGATGTCACCTTACCTTGTCCTGAATTCCCTGCAGGTCCTATGCTTTGGGAAAAATAGACATTACCTTTTCTTTCAGGTCTTTTACACCACTACCTCACTCCCCTATACACAGATATACTATTTTTTAGTTACAAGGAGTCCCTTCGTTCCAGCATTGAAAACAAAACCTTTGTGTCAGACTCTTCTGTCAAAATAAGGGCTACCCGGGGATCTGAGAGGACTTCAGCCCTCCCACTGGCACTCCATCACCCTTCAGAGGCATCCCACACACAGTCCTCCAGACTCACTGGAATAGCTAGGTAAGCTCTAGGACACGTCATCACTGGGATACCCCTGCTTCCCTAGAAGTGCCACTCCCACCCCGGGGGTTCCCTGATATGTATGTAGTGTGTGTGTGATGAATCTCGGGCTCTTCTGTTGCCAGGCGACATGCCTCTGTTTTGTTCTTATTATGCCTGTTTCCATAGCAACCACAAAGGGGAGCTCTGTGGGCAAGCCCCTTGTTGGGGGATTCCCCTTCCCCTCCCTTCTTGCCACAGTCCCCTTCTCTGAAATCAGTGTATTACGAAGAAGAAAAGATGATACCGACTGCTCAGAGAGTCATCAAGGCTTTTAAATAAACTCTGATCCCAGAAAGGAAGTGAAGCATGCCTTGCAGTCACTTTGAAAGCAGACTCCCCCTGCCTCCTCCCCACGAGGGCCCTTTGGCACCCCAGCCTTAGAAGCAGAGAAATTACTGTCACCCCTCCTTTGAGCCCCTTGGGATCTCCCAGACCCTACCTCCACTCCATATACACACCAGCCCAGAGATGAGCATCCCTGTCAAACACCAGGCCCTTCTCTATTCACTTCCATCGATTTCTAATGTCATCTTCCCCAGTCGAACAGCAAGCTTATGGGGATCTAAACATTATTTTCAAAGCAATTCTCAAATCCCAAACTCCTAATCCAAACTCCAAATATGAAGCCAAGTAAAATCATCCTCCTCCAGCTCAATTCAAATCCCAACCTGTATTTAAAACCTCAGGCTTCAAATAAGGAGTTCCTGCATTACTCAGATGAGACAGCTGGGATACCTGAAACCCCCCCATTACACTCAGTCCTAATTGAAATCTTCGGGTCCAAGCAGAACCCAAGTTAAAGCTGATTAGAGAACAAGAGAAGAGACGCAGGGCTCTAAGGAGAGACTGAGAAGTAGGCAGGGAGAGCGGTGCAGGTGGACACACTAGAACAGCTGGATTCCCAGTGGCAGAGATGGCCTGGAGGCCAGTGAGCTATGGGTGCAGGGATGCTGGGGGAGCAAAGAGATAATAGGAAATGGGGACAGAGATTAAGAAAAAGGAGCAGCAAAACACAACTGGATGAGGCTGTGAAGGAAGGAAGGAAGGAAGGAGAGAGAAAAAAGAGCTCTCAGAGCTGAGCTAGGGACTGGGCGGACAGACTTGTAAACAGGAGCCGAGGGAGGGAGCTGGAATGAACGGAGCAGCCAACGCCCCAGCCAGCACCCCTCCCCGGCAGGGAGCGGGGAGCAGGGCGGGAGGGGCCAGGAGAGGGGAACGCCAGCTTCCTCTCCCCTTTTTTGGAATCTGCCTTTCTCCCATCCTTTCCATCTTCCTCTGCTTTCCCCCCAGTTCCCAGGGGAAGGGGGAGACCAGTGAGGGTTTCTCTCCCTCCTCGGCTCACACTTCCCTAGTCCAGTTGAAGGAGATCAGGGAAGGAAGGGCCTAGGCTGCCCAGAGCCTGAGTCACCACATAGTTGAGGTTCCTGTCACTTGAAGTCCCGCCTCTGCTACACCCTGTGCCCTCTGCCCGATCCAGGACTTGGATCGCTGGGGCTGACCCTGCCCCAGGACTTGCTCCACTTCCATGCTTCTTACCCAGCTCAGGGCTGCCTTACTCTGGCTGCTGGCAGCCTTAGATACCACCCTCTCTTCACTTCTAAAACCTAGTGTGCTTCACCCAGCTTTTGAGGGAAGCACCCTCCTGCTTTTCTTAGGAGCAAAAGTGACTCAGTGAGCGGGCCCCAAGAACTGTGGGAAGACTAGCATGCACCCTTGATAAGTCACTTCCCCTCACTGGGCTCCAGTTTCCTCTTGGGTGAAAGAGAGGGACTAATTGCTGAGGTCTCCCCTCACCCCACCCCACCCCAGGCAATCCCTGCAAATTCTGTACATCTGAGTCAAAGAGAAAGAGAGTTGCTATTGAAGAGAGGGGGATATAAAAGGGGTGTGTTTGCTAACCCCTGTCCTAACAGTGGGTGGAGTAGGCCA